CCCCCCAGAGATGCCCTTAGTGCCCTCTTACAAACACCTCCACACCCCCATCCCCCATCTCTCAATGGACCAGCCTTAATGACAGGAAAGATAATAGTAAGTTTACAGACAATGAGGTCATGGCGGCATTGCACCAATCCATGCCGACTCTTGGAAAATTAGACACAGATTAGAAGAGCAGGGACTGTGGGAGTGGCTGTCTAACTGTTGGGTACATTTCAGAGAGCTTGTTTCGAATGTCAAATCTCAAGAAACAATGTGCTATTACCTTTCTAAATGGTCATTCTCATAATTTTCTCCTGACAGATGACAAAACAGGGAAAAAAATCTTGTAGATTCACGCTATCGTACAAAAGTTTAGGGTCGGTATGATTTAACAAGAAAATTTTTTTTTTTTTGAAAGAATTCACTACTGCTCACCCAATTTACTTGATCAAAAATACCATATAAACTATGGAAGCTTTTTTCCACCACGGAATAACAAAAATAAAAGCTAGTTGCGACTTTTTAGCTAACAACTCTGACTTCTGATATGAACTCACAATTGCGAGTTACAATGTCAGAATTGCAAGATAAACTGAAATTTTTTTCTCACAATTGTGAGATTGCCACACAATTCTGACTTTATATCTCACAGAATTGCCAGATGTAAACTCGCCATTGTGAGAAAAAGTAGCAATTAACTTTCATATTTTTTATTCAGTTGGGGAGACAAGCTTCCATAAAAAACAGTAATATTATGAATATATTAAAATTTAAAATAAAGCTTTTTGTGTCAGTGAAGCATCACATGATGCTTCAGAAATCATTCTAATATGCTGATTTGGTGCTCAAGAAGCATTTTTTTTTGTTATTATCAAAGTTGAAAATGGTTGTTCTTAATATTTTTGTGGAATCCATGATAAATTCTTTAGAATTCTTTGATGAATAAAGTTCAAAGAACAACATATATCATTTAACACAAGATTCCTTTCGCTTTTGATTCATTTAATGTGTCCTCGTTGAATAAAAGTATTAATTTCTTAAAAACAAAACACAAAAAAATCTTACTGGTCCCAAACATTTGACTGTGTACTTAAAAAGAAGGAATCAAGCAATATTTAGATACCAGAATATCAGACAATTTTGGCTTGAGCCTGTAAGAAACCACCTAGCAACCAAATAGCAACACACTAAACACCAATCAGAACATCTTAGAAACCACATAGCAACGTTCCGGCACTCAGTTGCAGTTTTAAACAGCTGTTCCTGCTTTTTTTTTCTCCCGTCCTGTCCAACCACAATTGTTTATTCCTCTCTGTTGAGAAGTTTGTTTGGTTTATGAAGTTTTGACATGTGCATTACTTGGAGATCATGCTTTTAAATATGTGGCTATGTTTGTCTGTATGTGTTCAAATATTTGGTTGTGTTTGTGATAACCCAGGGAGATAAACAGCTGTAGAAGCAGCACTAGCTTGACTTCAGCAGTCTCGGCTCTTGTTTTCTCATTGACTTATTACCCAGTGGGCCTGGTGTGTGTGTGGTTGTGTGTTGGCGGTCACATGTTGCCAACCAAGTTACTAACCATTGCACATGGCCACACTGTTACATATTCAGCTATGGTCGATTATGAGACAGTCCATTTCCTCAAAAATCATAAGTTGTCTGCTGGCCTTTATTAAATGTCTTCTTCTTCAACATAGAAGGATAATTGTTGCTTTACAGCTCTGATGTTCAAATCCAAACCCTTTAACAAAGCTTCCTGTAGACATTTTGTGAGTTGGAACACTGTTGTATTTGTCCTGTTCTCTTATAAATATTCCTCATAGTCTTATTAGTATGCTAACAGCTTCCTTCATCTTTTTTTCTCTTTGAACAGTGTGAGTATTATAGTTGGAGCACCCAAAGCCAACACCAGCCAGCCCAACATCAGGGAAGGAGGATCAGTCTTCTACTGTCCATGGAGCCTCAGCCAATCACAATGCAGCAGCATAGAGTTCGATATACAGGGTAAGTCTCGCTGACCAGTGGATGTGGGTGATCACTAAAGATTAAACTCAAAAAGCTGTTCAGGGTGTCATATTCTCTGGTACAGTGCTACTGAGATACTGTTATAGTTTTTGTTAATATTTTGAATGTTTTTTTTTTTAAATATATATTTCATTTTAATTTTCAAAGTTGTAATTTTTTGTTGTTTTTGTCCTAATTTTTTTTTTTAAGTTTTAGGTATTTTATTGCTTCAACAAACTTGAACTTCAACAAGCTCAAATAAAATTCCTTTTTAAAAAAATATATTTTATTTTATTTTAGGTAATGGTTATATTATTACAAGTTATGGAAATTTATTTATATATATAATATAACATTTTTTGCAATGAGTGAGTCTCTCAAAAAAATTACATATTGCTACTTTACCATCATTTTTGCTGATTACTTACAAGTCAGCTGCTGACATGTTGACTTGTTGTTAGTAATCAATGTTGTTTGCACAAAATATGCATTAAACTCTCAAAAATAGTCATCAGATAAGCGATACTTAATTGTCAATTGTTTTTGTCCAATTTTTTTTGGCCGCATTTGTTTGGTTGCCAAAATTTTAGTGCATCAGTACAATACATACTATGGTTTAGATCAGTGTTTCCCAACCTTTTTTTAATTTTAACAAACTTGTGGCACCCTACAAAATTAATTTTGTCACAATATTTGAATTTACTAACTTCGATATGATAATTTGAAAAGTATATATATTCGGTACAACAGGGAAGAACTGCTGGATATAATGTCATTCAAATATTTTTAATATTATTAAAAAATTTTGTCCATCAATGGTGGCAATCAGGCTAATTTCTAATGAAGATACCAATTTATATGACAGATTTTAATGTAGGCTTTTATACATATGTAAACATCATTTAATTACCATTTGATACCAAACTAGCTATCTCACAAATGTTTGCTCACTCAGTGTTTTTTTTAAATTTTACAGTGGGGTAATTTTGGTGCAGTAGCACGAGAGAGCTTGATTTCGAACTTTGAATTGAATAAAAAATTACAAGTAAGCAGTCAGTAATAAAATAAGAACAAATAAAGAAATTAATAATGATAGCACAAATAAAAAATAACGACAGGCCTTCAAATTAAATAAATTGCTTTTTAGTTTTTCAGGTAGATCTAACAGTAGGGTTAAGATATTTAACTTTTTTTTTTTAACCAATTATCCAAATAATGTTTAGTCCTAGAAAGCTATTATTATAAGAACACGTGAGCATAAAATAGTGGTTAGCAGATCAATGAATGAGAGAGCAGCGTTACCAGAGTTGCCCATATACCACACCATGTTACAACACAGTAGGGCTATTGCAGACAGAAACAATACTGTACTACATCGATGTTTCCTGTCGGCTCAATTTTTGAGTGGACTTTGCTGTTCCGATTCGCATGAACGGTATACGAGTGGAGCGACTGAGACGGTGTCTATCACTGCACATGCATAGAGCGGGATAATACGCACCACGTGAAAGTGAAATCTGAGTGGTGAACTAATTTTCGGCAGACGAAATTTCGGTGCATCTCTAATTATTGGCGACATCAGAAATGGTAATATAAATATAATAGATGCTTTTTTGAACATTTTAGCAATTTAAAAATATTAAAAAATTATTTTTTTACATGGCGCCCCTGCTCTCGACAGACGGCACTCCGGTTGGGAAACACTGGTTTAGATCCTCAAATCAAGTTTATCGAGCTTGTGCAACTAATTTAGTGAGTGAGAATGTACAATGCTAATTATACCAACAATTCAATTGGATCCAGTGTTTTGACTTCAGTTTCTACATCCTCTCCAAAACAATCCTAGTGTTGATGGAAATCTGCTCCTTCCAATGTGGCTTACTGAAATCTAGCGCCTTTTGGTTGCAAAGCCCTTCGTCTTTCATTGTGTAGATTTTGCTCTGAGAGGGTGATGGAAAATGGGATTTAGATTAAGTGAAAGCAGACAATTGCTTGAGCAGACTTCCTAATGTACATGCAGACTCTGATTTTCTTAAATTAGATATGTTTCTCAACAGAACATGATAGCTAGCAACTGCTAAACAATGGTTGAAATGGGTAGATAGAGATGGTTTTATGTAGTTTCTTTCTGGATGTCTGATTCTGATGCAAAAATGTATCTGGTATGTCATCACATGACCAAAAAGATCATATATTATTGGTCAGTCAGGAAAAGACTCTGGAAGAATTTCAAGTGGTGTTCACAACAGATATTCAATCTTGATATGAACAGAGACTGTGTAGCTTTGTGGCTGTCTTGTTAGTGCCTGCGTGTTAACATTGCTAGCATTGTTGGTCGTTGATCTACTCATCATGCCAGAATAATTTCAGTTGTGGTAGTGACGTAAAACATAAAAAATGCATTTCATTAGGATTCAGATATCTGTGCACTACAACCACCAGAAAAAAGAATAAGTAGAGACAGCAGTGTACACTCTATCAATTGTGTATTGTGTCTTTTCTTGAAGTAGACAGAGTCTTAAGAACTGTTCCAAGTTGCTGAGTATGTAGAACACATGTCAGGGGACAATAAAGTGTTCACAATCTCAATCTATGTTAAAAAAGAAATTAAGAGATAAGGAAAACTGTAATACAAAACTCTAATAATGAACACTAATTCATTAAAAAAAAAATTTTTATTTGTATGATGTGTATATATACAGTGGGTACGGAAAGTATTTTGTATATGTAGATATACTTTTTTTCAATAATTTGTATTTATATTTACAAAATTTTTCTTTTCCGTGGCTGTAGGAGATCTAAACATGATAGTGAATCAAGCAGTACTTCAGGGAGAGTTCAAATCCCATCAGTGGTTTGGAGCAACAGTACGAGTGCATGAAGATAGTGTGCTGGTAAGATCTTCTTACTCATATTTTATGCTGTGTGGAAAATAGTCAGTATAATAGTCAGACATAAACCCTCGTTCAAATCATGACAAACCATTATTTCCTCTTGAACATTTGTGCTTGAACCCAAAGTATGGTTGGTGACTCGAGTCTAAGTTCATGTTCTTAAATTAACTTTGTAAGGCTCAAATGATAAATTATCAGATCAGAACCAGCTCTATTAATTTGTTATAGTCTTCAGTTTTCCTTCTGAATTTGAACTTTCTGACTCATTTGCTTGTGGATAATGCTGTAACACCAAAAGTCCAGGTGCTGTTCCTCATGGATTATGAAACTGTGAAATGAATTCATCATCATGGTTGCTATACTCTTTACTCATGTGGGCGTTTTTGTCAATGGAGTTGACCTTTAACCTCTAGTATTATCCTTTCCATAGGCTTGTGCCCCCCTCTACTCCTGGAGAACCATGGAGGACAAGCCTCATGCTGATACTACTGGCTCATGTTTTCTGTCCGTCAAAAACTTCACTAAGTTTGTGGAATATGCTCCGTGCCGCACAGGTGGACTTGCAGATGCTTTGTTGTGGCACTTTTCAATTTCAGTTGTTTTGAAGTCACAGTAACATAACTTGCCATCCATTGCAGAATTCCGTGGAAGAAAAGGACAAGGCTACTGTCAAGGTGGATTCAGTGCTGATTTTACACGGGTAAGATGATATTGAAATTGAATAGAACAAAATGCTTTGCTTATCTGCGGTTTCCTTCTGGTCTCACCTAGATACTAATGCTGTGTTACAGGAAGGAAAGGTGGTGCTTGGAGGACCTGGCAGTTACTTCTGGCAAGGTTTGGCTTTTAAAATTAAAAACACTTGTTTTAGAATAGTCTTTAAGGGCTTATAACTTAAATACAAAAAAAAGTAAAGAAATTAACACTTTTATTCAGCAAAGTTGCATTAAATTGATCAAAAGTGACAAAGACATTTTTAAATTTACAAAGCATTATTTTTTATTAAAGACTCTTTCAAATAAATGCTGTTCTTTTGAACTTCTTATTCATCAAAGAATCCTTAAAAATGCATCATGGCTTCCCCCCAAAAATATCAAGCAGCATAACTGTTTTCAACATTGATAATAATAAGAATAGAATGATTTCTGAAGTATCATGTGACACTGAAGACTAGATCAAATACAGCTTTGCCTTCACAGGAATAAATTAAATTTTAAAATATACAAAAACAGAAAATGGTTCTTTTAAATTGTGATAGCATTCACAATATGACTGTTTTATGGTATTTTTAATCAGACAAATCTTACAAGAAAAAAATCTTACAGAATTTAAACAGTAGTGTATGTACCTTTCTTACACGACTTGGGGGGGGGGGGGGGGGGGGTTGTGGGTTTGAGTCTCGTACGGGCAGGGATTGATTCGCTTTCCATCAAAATGTGGATATTTGCGTGTATTATTTGCATCGACTGTGACCTTTACTTCAATGCAAATGCAATTAAAAGATCAATTTCTCCTAACCATCTCTAGGCCAAGTGATCACTGCTGTTAAACAAGAAATAGTCAAAGCCTATTACCCAGGATTCTTCTTGACCTCAGTGGAAGGCCAGATTCAGACCAAACAGAAAAAGGAGATCACATTTGATGACACCTACATGGGTATGACTTTCCATTCCCCTTATTAGCTGTCAAGTTGAAAATACTTAGATTTTTCTGTTTGTCACGACCCATATTTTTATACATTCAACAGGTTACTCAGTGGCTGTCGGCGAGTTCAGTGGTGATGATGATGAAGGTGAGTGTTGTGACCTTAAAATATAAAACCTCTACATTATAGTGCTCATTAGATTACAGTTTCCCTAGATTATTTTGATTTTTGTCATTTTTATTATATTCATTAAAGATGGAGATTGAACGACGGTGACTGTGTTGTGCCTCAGATTTAATATCAACATCTGCTTTTGGAAT